GGAAATGAAAAATTACATGCAGTAAAACTATATACTAGCATATTAACTACACAGTAATATGTATTATCATACTAGAAATATATATAGTAATATGTGAGTATAGTAACATATACCACTCATATGGTCACATATATTATCGCATGTAGCAAAATATATCACCATGCCTTCTGCTTTCTTGGTTTACTCCCTCCTTTTGGTGAGAGTATGTCATACAGTAGCTTCCTGAGAAAGAATGTAAGTTTCTAAGATTGGCACATTTGGTATTGGTTTTAGTCTATTTGCACACTTGATTAATAGCTTGGCTGGATATAAAATTCTAGATTGGAAATCATTTTCCCTCTGATTTTTCCTTTAGTTTTCCATGTCACCCTATGGAGAAACCCAGTGCCATTAGGATATCTATCACCCTTTATGTAACTTGTTTTCCATTCCCCTCAACTTGGAAGTTCTCAGCATTGTTTCTTTATCCATGGGGTTTAAAATTTCAGGTGAACATGCTGTGGTATGTGTGTTACATCTGTTAAACTGAACACCTGTTCTTTAGTGAAATTTTTTAAAGTTATTTTTTTTGTTATTTCCTGCCCTTTCATTTTTTCTTTCTGGAATTCTTATTAGTGAAATAAAACTTTCTCATATTTTCTGTTTTCAATTTCTTTGTCTTTTGGGAGAATTCCCTAATGTCCAACCCCTTCTACTGAATTTTTTATTTCTGCTACCACTTTTTAGTTTCCAAGCAGTCTTTCTTGTTCTTTCAAGGTTCCTATGTTAAAATAGTGTCCTGTTTTTGTTGTATGATCACAATATTTTCTCTTACCTCTTAGGGAATATCAGTTGTCACTTAGTGAAATATTTTTCTGCTCTTCGCATTACCCCCATTTTTTCTTTTTTTCTTGTTTACTTTGACTTTCATCTTTTGTATGAGTGACTACCATTAATATTTAAGAATCAGGCACTGGAAAAGTAGACTCAAAACTTTTTTAGTATAAAAGTGGGGCTTGTCAACCAGGTTTTATTATAAGGTTACTGGGAGGAATTTCCCAATGTCCACATCAGAAAGGCTTTTCTCTCAGGTGTGTTAATTTTCAGAGAGGATTTTTCCAATTTGCTGCCCAAGGAGTACAAACACGGATGCTGGCCTCCTTGGATCTAAGTAAGAAAATCAGACTTTTACTCTATCTGTTAGTTGTATGCTCCTCCCCCACCTCCCCAACTGTACAAATCTCCATTACAGCTCCTGCTTTTTGTAAGGAGCTGTAAAGCCAGCTGATCTAGGAGAACAGGATGGGGGAGAAAATCTGGATGTCTAAATGACCTCTATACAGACTTTTGGCTAATCTTCCAAATTTTAGAGCCACCCAACACTCCAGCCTTCAGAACTACATGGTATCTTCAAGTCCTAATGCCAAGAAAAACTTAAAAAAAAAAAACTAAGAAAGAAAAACTTGTAAAGACATCTTTAAATTTGAATTGCTCTTTACTATTCTCAGGACTCAGGCTAAATGATGTATATTTTGCTGTGTGTTTTTTGGTCCTGTTCTAATTTGTCTTTTGAATAAGGCTAAACACTATAATCCTCCACTGACAATTGTCCTATCATTGATTTCCTGCTTTTCTTCAAGCTGACAGGTTTAGGCAAAGACCATTTTTTCAATTCCTTTTTTGGGCCTGACAAAACTTTTTCCAAACAGGATTATAAACAAGGCTTACATTTTAACACTAGGATAGGTGACAAATTATGTAACTCATTGGGTCACAATTTAATATTAGGTATTTGGGTAAGATGGTTTCATTTTAATTTGGCTTTGTCTCCATGTAAGTATTAAAGAATTCTATAGCCCAATATTAGTTTAAATTCTAAGTTTCTAATTTTTATTGTTTAATGAGTACTTACTTTTTACAACAATGTTGCAAGGTTCAGTGGTATTAATTTTATGTTATAATTAGAAGGTGAGGCTTTGAAAGAATAAGTAATTTGCCAAGGATCACATACAAAGTAGAATGGTAACTTGAATCTAGGTTTGATCACTATAAATTTCATGCTCTTAAACAATAAGCTTTACTGCTTATGAATAAAATCAGTATTTTATCTGTAACTATAACAGTATGAAGATTTTATTTCTATAGCTATTGTAATGTGTTATTTATATGTATGTATATATCTAATGAGCTCAGGACCATACAAATTCTGGAGCTGTTGATAGTCAACCTATTTATTGCATTTGACATTCCAATTTATAACAGTATATTACAGAATTAATTTGTTTTCCTTATATTTTTAATAAATATTGCTAAAATTACCTTTTTACTTGTTAATCATATTACTAAACAGTATATACTGGGGATACAGTATGATATAAAATAATGACTCCATGGCCTGCTTGAGAGAAGGGAGCTAAAATATTCCTGCCAATGATTTGAAAAGGAATTTCTTAAGGTTAGACCTTTTCTAAAGTATGAAAGCAAGACAATATTTCAATTTTTAATATTAGTTTAAGACTTAATAATACCCACAATTTTCATAGTTTATAGGGGTATCATTTTTTGCTGGATATGCACTAAGGTTAATGAAAACTCATAGCCTCCCTAAAATCATACACTTGCTGATTTACTGTCTTACAGAGGTGGTTGTTGATTTAATTTTAGTTGTATTTAGCAATTACTGATAATGTTGTGATCCAATGGAAGCATTACTGAAGGAATATAAAAATAAACTGGCAGTTTCTCTCTGAAATACAATCTACATAAGAAAGGAGGCACCTATGCATGAACCCGTGAGTGTCATCCCACTTGAGAGCACACTTTCCTCCAATTCTTTGCTAAAACCAAATTCCTGCTTCAAGAAGAGCATTGTCAATCTGTAATTGGGACAACTGCAGGCTTCCGCATTTCCCCAAAATAATATGACACCATCTTATCAGTGTTCTCAGTACCTCTTTCCCTTTTCTTTTATCCCTCTCTCTCCACATCAACATTGCCTTTGCTTCATTTCTGAGAGGCCTTGCTCTTAGGTAACTGTCACAATTCTCCTTGGGAAGTTAGCTGTTAAAGACTTAATACAGTGGCAGCTGGAGCCAAATTGTATCAGCTTGTGAGAGATAACTGCTAAACATTCGGGAATTTTTCTAGCAAATTGTTAACCTGTGACAGCATGAAATCAGCCATGGAGGGAGTATTTACATCATGGAAATTGGCAAACGTTATTAACAACCTCCCACTTCCCATGAAAGTTGATTTATCAGCATGCCACTAGGTATTACACTCCCCAGGAAATCTTGCATTTTCACTAGGTACTCCTGAAAATATTAAAGATTCAAAATGAATTTCCATGGCCGAGATTGCTCTCATAGGAACAAACAATGGAAAAATCACTAGAGACACTGTCCAAGTGTTAACCATATAGGCTAGACCACTTTGCTGAAAGCCAGCTCTATTGACAAGGCTAAGAGATACGGTCGAAGTTATAAACATTCAAAAAAGGCATTACTTTCTGGGCCAAGAAAGATTCCCAAAGACATATGTACATATGACAATCCTACAAAATATGGATCATACTGTAACAGTGACCCACTGAATCAGACGGTTAAGTATTTTCAGAGTTACTGACCACAGCAAAGAATGAAGCTTAAGAGTGGACCATGCTCCTTAAAAAGAACAAAGGACTGCATATCTCCACAGAGGATCTGAAGATAACTCAGTCTATACATTGAAAAACTAAATTTACTAATAGAGAGTCAATTAAATAATCTAGTAGTTTCCAAAACTGAAAATAGGTCCTAATATCTTACTAAGATCTTAAAAAACTCAAAACTGCTGTACTAGCGGTTAAAGAAAAGGCCAAGCTTAGTCACCTAAGCACATCAAACTGCATTTATTTATAGTCCTAGAATATTCTCTTTAACAAGAAGAATGGATTAATGGTGTTTAATATAAATTAGTTATCTTTTCCATGTATTTCTTTCTATGCTTCTATGCTTCTTTTTTCTTCCCTTCAAGTATTGATTGTGTGCCTACTGTGTACCAGGCACTATCTTAACTACAAAGAGGAATAACTTCTGGTCTCACACTGTGTTTCAGAAGATTCTATATATTTTTTAAAATATATAATTAAGGAAGTACTATTCAAAGACATCAAAGAGATTCTACCAGTAAAACATGGAGAATTTACTTTCTGATTTGTTTACTGAAATTAGAAAATAACATTCGAAAACTGTAACCTTTTAGCCTTTTGCTCCCACAAGAATAGTCACCAGGAGTCTTCTAGAGAAGAGGATTTAATTTCTGAGGAAATTGCATTGTAGCTTTAACAGCCTTCTTGGGAGAAACACAAATGTAACTAAATAAAAATATGAAAATATATTTTATAGAGAACACCATTAAATATTGCCAAAAGGATTTTGGCTTATAATGAACCCATGCTTCTAAAATTATGGAATCTAAAAGTAATTAATATGGATTCTTAAGAATAGACTCTTACTACAATTATAGAAATACTTTGAGTTTGTTGTTATAGTTGTTTACTATAGGAAAAACACATGTTCCTGTCAAAGCATATAAAATTAATGAACACATTTTATACAAAGAGTTCAATAAATACACTCTTGCAAGCTGTACCCATTAAAGAAAAATACCAATAAATTCACTGAACAAAAACTCAAAGCAACAATGGCTTTAAAGCTAATAACTCTAGAAGGCTGAAATGTAGCAAACACATAAAGTGTAGTGATAAAGCATGTAACTACATTATCTAAACATGGACGGTTTTTTGCTACCAGGCAGAGGAATCAGAGAAGGACAGGATCAATTTGTGGTGGATGGCTTGGCAGGCTGTTTGCCCAGCCTTCACTCTGACCTAAAAGAGCATCTCTTGTCCACCAGGAACCACACGAGACAGGAGTGTGTAAGCCTCCCATGCTGGTAGGCCTGGGGCGGAGGCAAACTACTGGAGTACAAAGCAGGCCTGTTAATTTCCACAAAGTAAAGTTATTCCATTTGGCCACTAGGTGGAGATCAGGTTACTCTGCCAGTGACGGGAAGCAGCTTGCAGCCAGCAAGTGGTAAGTAAGTAGGATTCTGAGAACCTATTCTGTTTCCTCCTTACTTCTATGAAAGGCATTTTCCAGGCTCCAAAATCAGGACCAGACCTATGCTGAATAAAGAGTATGCAAATGAAGACTAGCTGGAAGGATTGAACAGAAAGACCAAAATTTGCTTGTTATTATCATTGCCCATTTAGATTTGTTGTGCAAACTATGAGTAAACAATAGGATGAGCTGGTCTAAATAAAAGCAATTAATTAAGCTGTTTCATTATTTATCAAGCCATAGAAGGAAGAAGAAAAACATGACAAAAAATTAAAACAATAACAGACTATTAAGAGAATTAAACTTGTCTGTATAAACATAAAGATGCATACTCACAATTTGTTTCTAAGTTTGAGTACATACATAAATATTTTTAATATCAACCAAAATGGATCAAGGAACCTTAGAGATTAAAGGAGAATGATAGCTAACATCTACTCTAATTTTCTAAATGAATTTCTGAATTATATAACTTTATTACTAAATAAGTCTTATTTCTACCATACCTGAACTCTAAACTTGAAGATATAAAGTTATACATGTGGTGGAAAATATTTGGTTTGGAGAAAGTTCAGGTATTACACTGCATAATGTAACTGGATATTTTGATTAGTCTTTAAATGTTAGATACTATAATTCTGTTCATTTCTAACTTACTAACTATATATAGTCATTCAATAAATACTTATTCAGTTACAAATGTGGGGATAAAAACAGACAATTTGTGATAGTTTAAAGGAATTATTCTGTTTGTTATCAAATAATTTCAATTGCTAGTAAAATTTAGTATCTAGGAGTATGAGCATAAACTAACATAATTGCTTATTATGTACCAATCATTGTGCTAGAAGCTGGGATTACAAAGAGGCACAACATAGTCATAGAAGTTACTAGAAGAGAAGAGCTACATGGTTAAAACACAAATAGGGGTAAATTTTTATAGCAATCAGGAAGAGTTATCAAATTATCAGTAAAAGCTCTTTTCAAAGTTCTGTTGTAAAAATAAACTTAATTTAGGCCACCAATCTTGACCATAGGGAAAACATGACCTTTGATCTCTACACATATGAGAAATTCAAATAAACTGTAGAAATTCAAACACAATAGTATTTACTATTAGGTGCCAATGACTGTAATGAGAACAGGAGCTTAATTCAAAAAGAGAAGAAACTAATGTTTACAATAAAGAAAGAGGCCATAATTAATTAGTTTTATAAATATTGCTATGAATAGTGACCAACATTCAGTCTGCTGCTATAATAGATCCACTGCACTTAATGACATGCTTGTTTTTGAGCAATACATTTGCTTTGGCTTAATTAAATTAATAATTTATACCCCTTTAAAAGGATTTGAGGTTGCTAGTCTACTTTGGTTTGAGATTTTTAAAATGTTACTACAAGCTTTTAAGGATCTAAGAGAAATATGTATTATTTATTCACAAATATATCTATTTCTCTTTTAAGCAAAATCACAAAAATAATCATATAAATAGTCATTATTAATAAGGTATCAATAAAATAGTTTGTAGAAATTTCTTGTGTTGCTAATTGCTTCTTCGCAGAACAACATGGCTAGCAGAAACCTACCTTTATTGCTGTGGGATGAGAATGAAATGTAAACAGAAAAGTTTTGTTCTAAAGATTAAAATAAATAAATTGCAAATAAATCCTTTTATTATATGCTTTCGTATATATGGGTACACAGTCTTCCTCATTCTTCAAACTAGTTCCAGATGATAACTAGATTAGGTGATGACTGAGTCATTTCTGGAGTTGGGTTTCCTTACTTGGTGACCTGTTCTCACGCTGTTCTCACTGACCTGTTCTCACTGGTGACCTTTCTCCAGTGGAGGGGTGGGTCTCCTTATTGCGACTACTAAATTTGCATTATCTGGAAATAAGGAATTTGGCAGAAAAAACACTCTATGGATGTACAATTTTGTTTACCTTCTCTACTTCGGAGGTTCTGGCCTTGTAATAACCTGCAGCACTCTAGATCCTCCATGTTTCTGTTTCCTAGGTAGCATGCACAGATGCTGACAATGAAGCAGTAAAAGTGAGAACAGCTGCAAAGGTGGTACTGGAAACTGGTTAATGCTTAAGGTAAGAAAATAAAAGTTGATGATTTTATTCACATGTTGTGATGTCAGCAACCTGTACATTTAAACACTGACAGGAAAGAAGGCCATATTTTTACTTTGTCACTATCTAGATGATTTATCTATTTGTATTATAAGTCCAAAAATTATTTTAGCTATTGAAGCAACTGTATTTGAGTCATTGGCCCAGAAGTTTTCCCTGACTATGGCATTTGGAACTAAATTTATACCTGAATGTGCACCACTAACAGGTAAGGTCAATTCAAGTTGTACCTGCATATGTCTGTCGTCTTCTTGGCCAATCATATTTCTCCATTCCATGAGTGATCGTTGCAGATGTTCAAGTCCAGTTTCCCAAAGCCTGATGTGACCTCCCATATCAACAGTAACAACGCCACCTTTGCCCCACTCAGCTAGCAGCGCATCTGTGTCTGAAATGGTAGACAGCCACGTAGTGTATGGCGAGAGAGATTCTGATCTGAAAGAGGAATCCAAAGTGAAGACGAGAAACCATCAAAATAAAGCAGGAGGGATCATACTTCACATTTGTTCTGCTGTTTACTGTTTAAAAAACATGCTCACACCATTCATTCTTTGGTGCTCTTGCCTATACCTGCTCTTGCCTATCTCACACATAACACATGTTATGAGGATATGTGTTATGGGTGAAAGAGAGAAGACGTGAGAGCATCCTGGAGTTTGTAAACAAAAATGAGGCAGGAGAATAATGAATATAAAAAACAGACTATTTAAAGGAAGATATATTTATAATTGATCCCACTATATAACCGTTTGGTAGTCTAGGTAACAAAGCTAGTTTAAGCTGATTTAAGGTTCACTGAACTTGCTTTAAATAATTTATTATGAACTGAATGTTGGTACACATTCATATACTGAAGTCCTAACCTTCAATATGATGGCATTAGGAGGAGGGGACTTTGGGAAATAATTCGGTTTAGATGAGGTCATGAGGGTGGAGCCCCCAGGATGGGATTAGTGCCCTCATAAAAACAGACAGTTGGCACATGTCCCCTTTCTCTGTCTACCCCAGCCCCATTCATAGTAGAATACAGCAAGAAGTCAGTCATCTGCAAGACAATCCTCAACTAGATACTGAATTGGCCAGCACCTTGATCTTGGCTTTCCCAGCCTCCAGACTGTGAGGATAAATGTTTGTCATTTAAGCCACCCACTCTGCAGTATTCTGTTATAGCAGCCTGATCTAAGACAGAACTCTAATAGTAAGTACATTAAAAGATAAGATACCAACAGAACCATCTGTAAGAAACACAAATACACAGTAATTTATGGTTATTTTCCTGTATTTGTGGAGCCCAGATGACACCAGCTTTCACTGTTGGGAAGAAAGGAACCCTAAACCAACTCATACCTCACACGCCTACAAGAGTGGAATCGCTCCTTAGAGTCTAATGTCAGTGCTGAAACCATTGTCTTGTTTGTACATTTCAATTGCATTTTTATTTGATATTTTGCCTTTTATGGCTTAGAAAGTTTTATGACTCTATAATAAGGAAATTATATATCTCATATATTTCACACCTATTTCCTTTATAACATATTTCTGATATTTACATGTATGTGTATATTAATGTAGTAATTTTTAGGAATGCAACTTTTGTCTGTAAGAGTCAACTGCATACTTCCTTTACCTGAGTATAACTATCACTATACAAAAACAACAAAGATTATAAATTCCAATTATCAGTGTTGGCTCTCTAAATGCATCTGATATTTCCCATATAAAATAAATAGCTTAAAAAGATGGCCTGATCAGATAAGAAAACATAATAGACTATCAATGTAGATTTGGGAAAAACACAAAACCGTTATATATTAAGCAGATTCTCATAATATACTAAAGAATAAATCAAGACTATTGTGACCTTTTTTCAGTCTGCCTTAGTTGGTACTAAACACAGAGTGACAAGAACAGCTACTCTTGGACACAGAAGTCTTAGAACTTGTTTATATGATGAGGAAGGGAACAGTAGGATGGGACTGTGTGTTTCAGAACTGCTTCACATGACTCCTAGATGGGCTCAAAAAGGTAACATTTGATATAATACATGATTTATTTCATGGTGCTCTCTCAAAACATATTTGCTTTAGGGCTGGTGTGGTGGCTCATGTCTACAATCCTAGCACTTTGGGAGGCGAAAGCCAGAGGATTGCTTGAGGCCAGGTGTTCCAGACCAGCCTGGGCAAGCTAGTGAGACCTTGTCTTTACAACAAATAAAACAATTCGCTGGACCTGGTGGTGCATGCCTGTAATGCCAGCTACTCGGGAGGCTGAGGCAGGGATTATTTGAGCCCAGGAATTGGAGGCTGCAGTGTGCTATGATCACACCACTGCCCTCCAGCATCAGTGACAGAGTAAGGCCATGTTTTAAAAAATATATATATCTGTACATTTACTGTAGCAAAAAAAATTAGGAGTTACAGTTGATGAAGTACAGAACTATTAAAGAGTAATAAAATTTACCCATGTGAAACTGTGATGTTTAAAGTTCTGCCAAGAACACTCAAGTTGTATGATTCTATTAAGCACCGTATCAACTGGTTTACTCTATTTAACTCTCCTCTGCAAAACTTTAAATTTATAGGGGCAGTTTCTTCAATATGTCATAAAAAAAGGACTGAAGAAATCACATTTACTACAATTTGCATACCAAGTCTAGAATCTCTTCTTCACGTTTTCCCCCTAGGTTGTCAAAGAGGATTTTATTTATTTTCTATTTCAAAATATACATGTTTTTGTTATATGGATACCTTGTACAATGCTTAAGTTAGGGCTTTTAGTGTGCCCATCACCAAAATAGTGTTCATTGTACCTAAAAGGTAAGTTTTTATTCCTCACCCCCTAACCCTCCCTCCCATCTTGGTTTCCAAAGTCCTTTACATCTTTTTATGCCTAGGTGTGCCCATTGTTTAGCTCCCAATTATTAGAGAGTATATATGCTGTTTTTATATACAATATATATTGTTTTTCCATTTCTGAGATACTTTGCTTAGGAATAATGGTCTCCAGTTCCATCCAAGTTGCTGCAAAAGATATTATTTCATTCCTTTTTATGGCTGACTAGTACTCCATGGTGTATGTATGTATATGTATGTGTGTGTGTATGTGCCCTATTCAATAAGTGATGCTGGGAAAACTGGATAGTCACATACAGAAGAACGAAACAGGACTTCCATCTCTTGCCATATACATAAATTAATTCAAGATGGATAAAAGACTTAAATATAAGTCATGAAACCATAAAAATTCTAGAAGAAAATGCAGGAAAACTCTTTCAGACATTGGCTTAGACAAAGAGTTTATGACTTTCTTTTAATGTTTCCCTTATACATGATAATGTAGTTTTAAATGAATATTTAGAATTATAATAGAGTGAAGCCTAGATTTATATATACAGCCATATGTGGAAATAAGGTAGTATCATTTTATAAATGCAAATAATACAAAAAGTTGAGGAAAAATATGTGGGTGCAAAAGTACTGTATTCATTTTGGCCCTGTGGTTACATGTAGTTTTATTGTATTTTCTATTATTTAAAGTTAGTCATCAAATGGAAAATTCCTGATATGTACAAGAATGCTAAATTTAAGCAACTAGCAAAAAAACCTGAAGTTCAGCTAGGTCGTTCCCTTGGATTACATATACACCAAAAAAAGCAATAGTTAATCTTGAGAAAAACTCAGGATATACAGACAATGAAACAGACTCTAAATCACATGACACTTGAAATATGGCAAGTCCAAATTGAGACGTGCTGTAAGTATAAAATACATATTGGATTTCAAAGACTTAGAAAAAAAAAAAGAAATGTAAAATATTTCATTAAAATTTTTATACTGAATACCTGTAAGATGACAATATTTTAGATATATTGGGTTAAATAAAATATATTATTAAAATTAATTTCACCTGTTTCTTTTTACTTTTTTAATGTGGCTACTAAGAAACATAAAATTATGTATATGGCTTGCTTTATATTTCCATTGGACAGCACAGCTTTAAATCAATGAATTATGATGACCAGCTGGCACTGGGCTGTATCCATAGGTACTCTTCCAGATGTTCTTTCCATGGCAAGCATAACATGTGGTTTATACAGAAAGTTAAAAGAGAAAAACACTGAAAGAAAAAGCTAGTAAGGGAAAAATTAAGAGAAATGTTAGAAAAAGTTATTGATGATTTAGAAATTTTTTAGAAAGATGTTCTTTGCATTTGTTACTTGAACTAAGAGCATATTTTAATTCGCATACAGGTAAGATGAATCAGGGATTTCCTCAAATGAATAAACACCATTTTCTATTAAACCAACACATTAGCATGTTGCACCAAGTCATAAATGTTGGAACAAGTAAATCTATTTCTTTGAATAATGATTTCACTTTTCATATTTTAAAAATCTGATTAAAGGGTCCTAAGAAATGAAGCTGTGTTTCTGAGTTATTTTGTACTATCATGCTGAGCTATTTTATTCTGGAAGTTGGAGGAGGGGAAAGAAAGGTGGCCTGGTGATATTTTAGGGGACTGACAGGTTCTGCCGTCCCTGGCCTTCCTCTGACATTGGGAGAACCTCTAGGCTCCACTGCTTGAGCTTTTAGGCAAGGCTTTAACCACCGTGTTGTGCAGGCTCAGTAGCATGTGAGGGTGTTTATCAGAGGAGGGGATGTATCTCAATCTAGATCAAAGTAGAGTGGAAAGATTAGAGGAAGGAGGCTTTGACCCAGTGAGCTAAAAAAGGAAAAAAAAGAGAAAAACCTGGTTTAAATAGAACAAAACAGGCACCAGCTTAGGTTGAGAGAGGGAGACAAGGCATGGATGCACCCAGAAAGGGACAGGCTACAGGTAAGGACACCTGGGTTCCTCAAGGGCAATGACCAAGCATTATTGTTTCTGCTTTTATATCCTGAGTCTAGCTAGGTTAGATGCTTTGATTCCGTTGCTAGCCAGTAACAAAAGCAGTGAAGAGTAATGAGTCCCATTCTAAATTTTTGGAGTCCTTTGGCTATTGTATGGCCTTCATGCCTGCAAATGTATAATAACATATTTAAAAATACTATTAAATAAATGCTATTTAAATTCCTTTGACATTTCAAACATTTTAACACACGAAGTTAATAAGTATTAAAATTTCTATAATACTAAAAATGCTATTTCAAATACAAGAAAACTTATTACAATAGATCAAACAGAAGAGGACAAAGACTTGAAGCCTGTTAGATTTATAACTATGTAAGATTTGAACATTTTTCCAAAATGAAAATAAAAATGCCAGTGAAGCATGCGGAAGAACAGCAAGATATAAACCAACTGTAACTGGGGGAAAAAAGAGCTTGCTATTTAAGGAAGCAAAAAGCACACATTTATTGGTATGAATTCCCTCATTTTTTATGACATACCAAGCTAAGAACAAAGGTGAAATGGATTACCTGGGAATAGGAATATATCGAAGTTTCTTTGATTGAAGATCAGTGACTTCTATATAACCAGCTGTTTGTGGAGGACTAACATCTGCAAACAAGTCATGACATGAGCCAAGCATGAAATTACTTGAAGATACCAAAATAGGACTAAAAACTGCTCAAATGCTGCTAGAAGTGGAACAAAGTTATCAGTAGTCTCGGAAGAACTCTGGGACCCACTTGACAAGGTACTGGGTGAACCCTCATGGCTAGACTCTGAGAATTATGTTTCTCTTATGGAAACATGAAGATTGTTGAACAGAAGCATATTAGGCTATGATTCTCTTCTGTCAGGAGAAAACATAAATTATTTTCATTGTCTGTGATAGCTTCCCAAGATGAGCACTTACAGTTTATTTGAAAGTATTCATCATTTGAATTTTGTTTTTCCTTCTTAGGAAGTAACAACACTTCAGCATGATATGGTAGAATCAGTACCCACTTTGTAATCAAACTGACCTGGTGTGAAGTCTTGGCTCTTACATTTCCTAGCTGTGTTATGTTGGTCAAGTTATTCCCCTCTATGAGTCTTGTTATCCTTGTTTGTATTAATAAAATAGGGATAACAATAGCATCAATAGGGATAACATATAAGAATAATTAAGGATAATAATAAAGGATAAGTAATAAATAAGGATAAATAATAAAATAGGGATAACAAATAAGCATTATTTTGAGGATAAAATGAAATTAGCAAAGACAGAGCATTAGTAGTTGCTCAGCACAAAGTGTCCGTCATAATTAGGGCTCTATAAGACAGAGGAAGGTGATGGGAGGATGAGACAGCAGGGTGAGGATCTGGGATTTGGTTCATAATCCTGAAAGATAAAATCTCAAACACGGTAATCCCAAATGTTGTAATTCTAAAAGATCAAAATCCCTAAAGTCTAAAATCCTGAAAATCACTATCACAGGATACATAGCTACATCATGTTAGGTGGAACTATTACCTTGTTATTATCTTTATTTGGAAATTAAATATGATTTGAGATGCATATGGGTGCCAAGTGGACAAGAGGTGGTGGATTTGTGAACTTAATATTAGGTGTCAACTTGACACCTAATATTAAGGAATAATAAGGAATACCTAGAAACCTGGTAAAGCATTATTTTGGGCATGTCTGTGATGGTGTTCCCAGAGGGGACTAATGTGGACTACATGGGAAAGATCTGCTCTCAATGTTGGCAGGCACCATCTAATTAGCTGGAGCCTTGGAGAGAACAAATATAGAAGGTAAATTGATCTCTGAGAGCAGGAACAGACTTTTCTTCTGTTGCCTTGGCTATCAGAATTTCAGGCTCACTGGCCTTTGGATTCTAAGAGGTTGTTCATCATGATGTTTCAGATGAGCATGGTTATAAAGCTGGGTACACACAATTACCAACCATAGTGACATGCATTTATATATTTCCCTTTCTGAATACCAATTTCTTTACAAATATGATTCATCTTATCATAACTATTCTATCCATGGGACTGTCATTAGTATACCTGAGTGTTTATGCTGGAAAAAACTTATATGATACTATTGCTTATTTTATTGTATAAAGTGGCCTAGGAAGTGTTCTTTTGTGTTTTTATATGTTTTCCAAATCAATTCCCTCTAAAAAAATGTAGATAAATATCTTATAAAGAATTTCAAATTTTTTTCCCCCTTAGAATTATATTTTTGTGATTTTGATATTTTGGGATTGTGATTTTAGCCTCTAGGAATTTTGATCTTTCAGGGTTTCAATCTTTGGGATTATGGCTTTCAGAACTATGTCTTTTGGGATTATTATAGGCTTCTAGGACTCTAGATCATGAAGAATGTGAAAAGTTGGGGATAGGAGAAGATAAAGAGATATAGGGACCAGAGCCTGCAACCCCAATTCTGGAGTTGGTTTCCCAGCAAATTCTTGGGCTTTACTGACTTCTATTCCACAGCCTTGAGTACCACCATCATTCTCAAAATCACTAGTTGCCACCATTGTGTGTTAGGAACTGTGCTTAGCCTTTATAGAGATAATGCTTTTAATACTGACAATGACAAAGACTTATGATTCCTGTCTGAGAGATGAGGAGGCTGAGGCTTCTGTCTATCTATGGGTCTATCTTTTGTTACAACTTCTGATTAGAATGAGATATCCAGGATGTCCACAATGAATTTATCAAATGTAGTTTACAAAATATAAGAAACCTGGCATTTTTACTTCATGTTTGCAGTTGAAAATTTTTAAATAGACCATCTGAATAACTCAACATATCTCTTTATATAAATGCATTTGGGCTTACTTTGCACCAGACATCGCACAAAGCACTGGGGATACAGACAAGAAGAGATGTGGTCCCTGCCTTTTAGGAACTTTGGGGACTTGGAAAGGATTCCAGAGTGGGAATCACAGCTGTAGGGCCAGGTATGAGCTGCAGATCTAAGCAAGGGGTAGTCCCAGAAAGCAGAGGGCTCAGGAGGAAAGGAAGGCAATGTCCAGGGATGGGAAGGGGTAAGATATAGTAATTTATATAACTATAAATTACTGGATTGGCTGTCCCCAGGTGGCCATCTGTATAAAACAAACACACTTATCATAAGTCATGCACCATCTGTATTGGAAATGCTGCTGGGATATAAAGTCAATCTTGGATAAATTTTGCATGATCTATCATTTTTGACAATTCCTGTTGCTAGAATTTAACTGAAGTAGGTTGAATTATTTATAGATCAGGGTTCTTTGCCAAAAATGACCAGTTATTGAAGCTGTTAGGATGACTAGAGCTGCCTAGTTAACCAACTTACACGTTGGCTTGATACTTACAGGCACTTTTTAAAATAAGTGGTGGTATTAAGTTGAGCTACTGCCATCAGCGGCTTTTAGATTGCCTGTGAGAGCAAAGTAAGCCAACTTATTTTAAAATACCTTTTTTTTCTACATCTTTCTTTTATTTCACTGTTTAAATTAATTTCATGGCATAAAGTGGGTGAGAACATGCAATAATGGCTGTGTCTCCTTTCAAGAAGGAGAAAGCAAGAGTTTAGTATTAAATATTTTCATGTACCAGGAAAAAGAGTTTGTGGTTACAAAGCACTTTAAGGGAATATTAAAGATGGCAGTAGTGGTAAGCGTTTTAAAAATAATCAAAAGTGATATTTACTGATTTGAAAATAAATCATCTCAAAAGACAAAAAGAGTTACAAAAAGAGCCTTATGGCTATCCTTGAACAGAATACATGATTGAATTAAGGACGTTAAAACTGTGGCCAGGTTTCCCTCCAAATTTAGCCAAGTCCTTGTCTATTCATTTTAAATGTTTCAACACTGCAGAGAGGATGGAGGCTCAGTAAATTTCCATTACATTTATAATCCAGGTGGATTTCAATGATAGGTATAAACTGTATTTGGGGATTAGTTCACTAACCATTAAAAAGGGAAGTCATTGCTGCAGTGTTTATCGCATAGCTCCTTTGAACAGCGGGGACAGTTTACATGCACGGTGCCAAGGTTAGGAGGAGGTATAAAAGCTGTCAGGCAAAACAACCAAGAAGATTTTCAGAGGGAAGGTGAAATTATATTAAAGAAATTAATTACTTCTAGAAATGTAATTTGATGTACACCTGTTAACCATTAGGTTTAATGTACTTCTGTGTTTACAGACTAAAACAGTGATACGTGCCCTGCAATGGTGCCAATACCAGATCTTTGGTTTTAGTCAAAGTACAAAAAAACAGTGTACTGCTTTCAATCAAGAATCATTATTTTTGTGTTTAAAGAGCTAAGACCTGTGATTTTAAAAAAAGCTAACATTTAATGAAAAGAAAAACGACTGGAAGAAAGCAGTAAATTTCTCCCCATCTGTATTAAATAAAAATTACCCCATCTTTGTGAAATCTCATCTGTTCTAATCTGAACTGGTCAATCCTTAGGCCTGTGCACTGCTGTCATTCTGGGTTTGCCCTTTACCATGCTCTTACGAACTTTCTTTCTTTCTTTCTTTCTTCCTTCCTTCCTTCCTTCCTTCTTTCTCTTTCTTTCTTTCTTTCTTTCTTTCTTTCTTTCTTTCTTTCTTTCTTTCTTTCTTACAGCCCACATTTATAAAATTCATCCCATGTGATTCAGACACTGTCCTAAGTACTTTATGTTCATTTTGAATATTTTTAGAAGAAACACTACTTAAACAAATGAAGGGAAATAAAACTCCTAGCAACTAAGAGAAAAATGGCTAAAGAGAAGCAGGGTGGGGAAAGAAAAAAATGGCTAAAAATATAAATATGCAACTCTCAGAAGAGTAAATCACATCATATAAAAGGATGCTCAAGGCTCCTTGATGGAGCTTGGATAGTGACTCATGCCTATGATCCTAGCATGTTGGGAGGCCAAGACGAGGAGGATCACTTGAGGCTGGGAGTTTGATGCCAGTCTGGACAAAACAGGAAGACTGTGTCTCTACCCCTAGCCCCCGCAAAAAAAAAATTTAAAAGGATGCTCAAATCACCAAAGCAATCCTGAGCAAAAAGAACAAAGCTGGAGGCATCACACTAACTGATTTCAAAATTTACTACAAATCTATAGTAACCAAAACAGCATGTAACTGCCATAAAAACAGACACTTAGACCAATGGAACAGAATAGAGAACCCTATAAAATTCACGTATTTACGGCCAACTCATCTTTGACAAAGGCACCAAGAATATATAATGGGGAAGGGACAGTCTTCTCAATAAATGGTGCTGGGAAAATTGGATAACTATATGTAGAAAAATGAAACCAGATCCCTATCTCTTATCAAACACAAAAAATCAAATCAAAATGTATTAAAAACTTGAATATGAGTATTATTTTAATGTATTAAAAACTTGAATAAAAACCTGAAACCGTGAAGCTACTAGAAGAAACCACTGGGGATATGCTCCAGGACATTGGTAAAGATTTTTTGTGTAAGACCTTAAAAACACAGGCAATAACTGGGATTGCATCAAGCTAAAAAGCTTCTGCACAGCAAAGGAAACAATAAAGTAAGGAGACAACCCACAGAATGGGAGAAAATATTTTCAAGCTATCCACCTGCCAAAGGATTATAACAAAAACATATAAGGAACTAACTCAAACAACTCAATAGCAAAAAACCAAATACTCTGATTAAAAAGTGGGCCAAAGATCAGAACAGACATTTCTCTAAAAAAGATACATAAATGGCCAATAAATATATGAAAACAATATTCAACATCACTAATCATCAGAGAAATGCAAATCAAAACCATAATGTGATATCATTTCACCTCAGTTAAAACAGCTTGTATGCAAAAGACAGGCAGTAACAGATGCTGGCAAGGATGTGGAGAAAGGGGAACTCTCATACACTGTTGGTAGGAATGTAAACTAGCACAGCCACTATGCAGAATAGTATAGAGATTCCTCAAAAAACTAAAAATAGAGTTACCATGGGACCCAGCAATTCCACTACTGAGCATATATCCAAAAGAAAGGAAATCAGTATGTCAAAGAGGTATCTGCACTCCTATGTTGATTTCAGCACTATTTACAAATGCCAAAATAGGTAATCAAATTAAGTATCTATTAATGGATGAATGGATAAAGAAAATATAGTACATATACACAATGGAATATTATTCATTTTTATTCATTATTATGAATTTTATTTTATATAAAAGAATGAAATCCTGTCATTTGCAGCAATATGGATGGAACTGGAGGCTATTATGTTAAGTGACATAAGCCAAGCACAGAAAGACAAATATTGTTCTCACTTATATGTAGGAGCTAAAAAGGTGGATCTTATAAATGGATGCTCAAATGTACTAGAAATCAGGGAAAGGTAAAGTGAAATTACAATAAAAGGTCTTACCCCTACAAGAATAGATGAGCATAGGGAGCATGAGATCATCCCCTATGCTGCTGGAACAACTTTGGTAATTCCACTCCTAGATATACCCAGACAGACAGGCACAGGATATTCATTGTGCCATTATTTCTAATAGCAAAAATTGGAAAGAATCTAAATGTGCATTGACAAAGAATAGATGAATAAATTGTCGTATGCAAAGCAGTGAAAGTAAAAGTAGAGCTATTAATATGGATGATAACAAAGATTCTTTCCTTGACCAAACTCTCATCAGGCTCCTTTGAATCCTCTTCCCAACTGGGCCCTGACTCTTGGGTTTGTATTAGTCTCTGCATTGTCCAATTGTAGCAAGAATCCTACTATGTCAATTTAACCAGAATCCCTCGCCCTTGATATTATATTGGGTTCCTCATTCTCCACCATACCCCCAGGTGATGCCTAGTCACCCTGGCCAGCCTTTAGCAAGAATTCTGTTAGGTCTATTTAACCAGAACCTCACCTTACCCTGATGCTTCCTCTTAGTGATTTTCTATCCCTTAATCCCCACCCTGCTCCTTTGCTATAAATTTCTACTTTTCTTTGTTTGATGTGAAGTTGAACCCAAGTCTCTCCTACTATAACACTTCACTGTATTAGTCCCTACATTTATTGAGATGGTCCTGAATAGAACAGGATCATTACATTTAGTTCTGTAACAAATGTCATGCATAATTTTTTCTTTAACAATGAATCTCAAAAACCTGATGTTGAACAAAAAAAGATCAAGTTACAGAAGAATAGGTACGGAATGATACCATTTATACAAAGTTAAAAACAAAAACAAAATAATATTATAATAATATACCAAACTCAAATTCAGGACAGAGATTGCTTTTGGTTTGTCAAAAGTGGAAGGGAGGAGAACACAGGGGTCTTTGACTATATTGGTACGGGTGGTGGGTGCAAAGATTCTCATTGTATTTTTCTTTAAATTTTTGGCATATTTTGTGAAAAATTAAAACACATGTAGAAACATAAACACACTCTTCCTGTCCTTAAATAGGAAGTGCTTTATGAGACAGTATAGCAAGGGCTCCTGATTTAGAGTTGGACAAGGCCTTCTGAGGAAGTGACATTTATACCAAGACCTGAAGGATAAGAAGTTGGGGGTGGGGGGCAGGAAAGGGTACAGAAGAAGGTTGGGAAGGAACTTTGTGAATTCAAGTTAGCTGAAAGACAGCCAGAAAGATATGTAATGGACAAATTGTGCTGGATCTTTAGGCCAAGTTAAAATTTCTAAACTTTATCCTAACAATAACATGATCTGAGTCATATTTTTAAAATAGGTATTTTCTGAGCAAAACAATTTTGAAAATGAAGAACAAAGAGGGAACATCTACCTGATTTCAAGAATTATAAAGTATAAAACTATAAAGTAATCAAGAGAGTGTGATATTATTAATATAATAAAGGTATAGACACACAGATCAATAGAACACAATAGAGAATCCAGAAATAGACCCACTAATATGTGGTCAGTGGATTTCCAGTGGAGGTCCAAAAGCAATTCAACAGAGAAAGGACAGTATTTTTCAGCAAATGGTGGTGGAATAACTGAATAATCCTTATGCAAAAAAAGAGAGTCTTGATCCATACCTTGTACCATGTAAAAAATTAACTCAAAATGGATGATAAATCTAAACATAAAATCCAAAACTATAAGTCTACTAGAAGAAAAGACAGGAGATTTGCCCTCATCAAAATAGGAGAAAATTTTGGAAAGTATATATCTGACACTGGACTTGTATCTAGAATATTTAAAGATACTCCAAATTCATTAATAAGAAGACAAATAACCCAATTTAAAAATAGGCAAAAAATCTAGAGAGACATTTCACTAAAGAAGATGCATATGACAAAATGTTCAACATCATTAGGTGCTGGGGGAAAGCAAATTAAAATCATAATGAGATATCACTATATACTCATTAGAATGGTGAAAAGATGACAATACCAAGTACTGGCAGGGATGTAGAGCAAGAGGATTCTCATTCATTGCAGACAAGAATGCAAACTGATATTGCCATTTTGTAATACAGTTTGGCAGTTTTATTATATGATGCAAAAATGCCATTCCTAGGTATTTACCTAAGTGAAGCAAAAACTTGTGTTCACTAAAAAACCTGTGCAAAAATGTTTATAGTGGCCTCACTCATTACTGCCAAAGACTGGAAACAATCCATATACCCATCAATTAGTGAATAGATAACAAACTGTGATATACCCATATAATAGACAACTACTCTACTCTGTTTCAACTACAAAAAGAAACAAAATACTGGTATACAAAACATAAATGATTTTCAGATACATTATATGAAGTGAATGAAGCCAGACTCAAAAGACCACATGTGGTATGATTACATTTATGTGATATTCTGGTAAGGGCAAATCTAGAAGGACAGAAATCAGATCAGTGGTGTGTTGGGGGTAGGTGGAGGGGTTGATCACACAGTCATATGGGAGAGGCTTTTGGGATAATGAAACTCTTCTATATCAGTTGTGGTGGCAGTTACACAATTGTTTGTATTTGTTAAACTTATAGAACTATACACTAAGGAGGGTGAATTTTACTGTATATAAACTAGACCTTAATAAGAACAAATGTACACTGTACTTTAAAAATATCATTCTGTTTGATATGTGAAGAACAGGTAGGAAGGGAATAGTGTGGAAGAGGTAACACCGTCAGGGAGCTATGGCAATAATCTACTGCAAGATGATAGTGCTTTGGATGGGATGTGGCAATAGAGCTGGAAACAAATGGGTACATACAAGATTTATTAGCAAGGCTGTATCAAAAGGACATGGTGATTGATGATGAATCTGATGTGGAGGATGAGTGTGAAGAGGCCGAGGTTTCTGGGTAAATGAAGGTACACTAAGCTCTGGTACAGAAGTTATTGTAATTCTTGAAATGCACTGCCAAGTCCTTGTACCTTTCCTGGGGCTCCCTTCTCCTGGACCAATTCCTTCAATTGATTAACTCCTACTCATCTTTCAAGAGTCTACTCATAATTCAGTCTGGGTTGTAAGTATCTCTTTCGTGTTCATGTATCACCTTGTGAATCCTCCTATCATAGCATTTATTACACTGTACTGCAATTGTCAGTTTATATAGCTACCTCTTCTACCATAAGAAAACATTTTAAGGAAATGGTGATTTATTTTCCATGAGTTTCAGTTTGGACGGACCTAACTCTAAATGTTATTATAACCAGGACTTTTCAAACCTGGTAATAGACTATTATAATATTAATACATTTAGCATTATATTTGTGAAGTCCACACTTATATAAAAAATGTAAATACAGGATAACATATTACTACCACTATGATGCAAAAAATAACAGTCAACAACTCAATTATGAAAATTTTTCATAATTACCCATTATGATGAATGCCAGTGTGATTCAATGAGAATGGTTATAGACTTGAGAATAGAAAATTATGGTGCAAATCTGGGTTCTGCTGGCCACTGGTGGGGTGATTGTGGGCCAGTTATTTTAGCTCTGTGTTAGGATGTTTCCACATATAAATTAGAAAGCACAGTAACAACAGGAGCGATTTTAAAGATTAAGAGAATTTATATAAGGAGAAATGACCAGCATAGGACTTGATATGTTATGTAGTAATAAATATAAGTTGACTTTGAGAACACTGAAAAGTGAATCAGTCTGTATAATAAGTTCTTCACCTTCAGTCTTAGGAGTTTAAGACAAAAATCAGGCCCCAGTTTCTATTCCTAATATCCTAATCGTTTCTAAAAGGCTCTTTGAAAACATGTTCTAAGTAAAGTTATTGTATAGATTGCAATGAGAATAAAGATGAGTTCTAACAGCAGTGGCTGTAATCATATACTGTAAAAATGAGTGAGAACTTTCTGAATACACATAGGTCTTTTTAGTTCTTTCTAGACTTGTCAGACGATTTGTCTTTACAAATATGAAATAAGAATGATGAGTTAAGTATCCCCTACCAAAAGCAAGCTACCTATAGCTACCTTGGTAAATTAATAATTGGTAAATTTCTTACCTTTTGGGTAGACATCTTTTAGAGGGACTTCTCCTGGAGGCAAAATCCTGACTACTTGATTACTATCTAAAAGAGTCACACAATTGCTTTGTTTTGGAGTCCCATTTTTCTTTTTTCTGCCATAGAATGCCGTATCAGTGACATTTGGTTTATGCAAAGATGATGGCCTCTTCCAAGAATAAACTTCACTGGGTGACTGATTTTAAAAAAGGATAAAAAGAAAAAAAGGGAGATTAAAGCACTGAAGTACCATATAAGACATTCACCACAACTTTAACAATCTAACCCTTTAAACAGACTAGTAGTAAACAGATGTTTCATAAGTATAAGAAAATTAAATTCTTCCTCAACATTTTTTAATGTTGGGGTACATGACATAGCTGCTTCACCAATAATCACAATTTTTCTGGTAAGTGTGAAATATACAAGTTAAATTTTTTATCTTGATGTAAATTACAACTAAAAAGAGGGAATATAGCAATATAGTTAGTTTAAAAATATTAAGGCCAGGTGTAGTGGCTCACGCCTGTAATCCTACCACTCTGGGAGGTGGAGGTGGGAGGATTGCTTGAGCTCAGGAGTCTGAGACTAGCCTGAGCAAGAGCAAGACCCATCTCTACTAAAAGTAGAAAAATTAGCCAGGTGTTGTGGTGTGTGCCCATAGTCCCAGCTACTCATGAGGCTGAGGCAGAAGGATCGCTTGAGCCCAGGAGTTTGAGGTTGCAGTGAGCTATGATGCTGCCACTGCACTATATGGGAGTGATAGAGTGAGACTCCGTCTCAAAACAACAACAAAACCCAGGAATACCTATGCAGCTACTATTTGGCATAAAGAATAGAATATAACTAGCATTTTTGAAGCCTTGAAGTGCCCCTTCCTGATCAAATCTCTTTCTCCCCTAGGTTTAACTCTCCTAGAATTTTGTGTTTTTTTTCTTTACTTGACTTTAACATTTTACCATGTATGTATTTATCCTTCCTAAGATCATAAAGATATTTTCCTATGTTTTCTCTGAAAGTTTTAAGGTTTTGTTTTTCATAATCGAGTCCTTAACCTATCAGGAATTTATTTCTGTGAATGGCATGAGGCAGGACCCATGTTCACCCTTTTATCACATAGACGGCTAATTGTCCAAATACAACTAACTTTTGCCCACTGCAATACTATCATAAAACATAGTTCTATATATGCATGCATGTGCTTCTGGGCACTATATTCTGTTGTACTGAATATTTTTCTACCCCTAAGTATAAAATCTTAGCTACTGAGATTTCATATTAATAATAAGCCTTGAAATTTAATAGGGAGAATATTGCTGCTTGGTTCTTCTTTGGGGATGTCTTTGTTATTGTTTGCCCTTGCATGTCCATAAAAATGTAAGACTTGCATTTGCTCTGCATCCTTGTGAGTACTTGGTATACTCAGTGCTTTTCGTAATAGCTTAGCCATTCTAATAGGCATGTTGTAGTGTCTCATCATGGTTTTAATTCACATTTCTCCAGTGACTAATGATGTTGAGTATCTTTTCATGTACTTATTTGCCATCCCTATATCCTCTTTGGTGAAGTATTTGCTCAAGTCTTTTGCTCATTTATTTTTCACATTTACCTTTAATTTTATTTCTATATCTACCTAAATACATTGAAAACTATGAGTTTACACAAATATATCCAATTCTAATCCAACAACTACAGGGTTCATTGTAGTTTTCTTTCTTCTAGTGTTTGTAACACCCTTCTCCAATAGTTAGAAACCTGTTTTCATTATTCTTAATATATTTTTCACTATCCTTTTTTTTAAATTTCAAAATATTAAAGGGGTACAAAGATTTTTTGCTACATGGATCACTTTTGTAATGTGCGTGGGTCAAGCTATAGGCATGCCCATCATCCAGACTGAGTTCATTATACTCATTAGGTTTTTGCCCTCTCCCTCCTCTTTCCTCCTCCCTGCTTGATTTCCACTGAGTTTTACTTCCCTCTGTACACATGTGTGCTCATTGGTTAGTTCCAATTTAATGGAGAGTATATGTGGTATTTGTTTTCCCTTCTTTAGATACTTCACTTAGGATAACAGTCTCCAGTTCCATCCAAATTGTTGCATTAATTCATCATTTTTATGGTTGAGTAATACTCCACGATATATATATATATCACATTTTATTAATCTACTCATGAATTGATGTGTACTTGGGTTAATTCTGCATCTTTGCAATTTTGAATTATGCTGCAATATACATTCAACTGCAGGTGTCTTTTTGATAGAAAGACTTCTTTTCCTTTGGGTAGATACCCAGTAGTGGGATTGCTGGATCAAATGGTAGGTCTAGTTTTATTAATAGTTTTTTGAAAAATCTCCATACCATTTTCCACAAAGGTTGTACTAATTTGCAGTCCCACCAACAGTATATAAGTGTTCCTTTCTCTCTGTATTCATGCCAGCATCTATTGGTTTTGGATGTTTTAAAAAAAGTAACAGGCATTACTAACAGGGGTAAGCTGATATCTCATTGTGGTTTTAATTTGCATTTCCCTGATGTTTTGTGATGTTGAGCATTTTTTTCATATATTTACTGGCTATTTATCTATCTTCTTTTGAAAAGCTTCTGTTCATATCTTTTGCCCACTTTTTAATGGAGTTGTTTGTTTTTTTCTTGCTGATGTGTTTGAGTTCTTCGTAAATTCTGGTTATTAGCCCTTTATCAGATGTATGGCTCATAAACATTTTCTTCCATTCTGTAGGTTGTCTATTTGCCTTGGTACTTGTTTCTTTAGCTGTGCAGAAGCTTTTTAGCTTAATCAAATAACATTTATTTATTTTTATGGTTACTGTGATTGCCATTGGGGTCTTATTCATAAATTCTTTGCCTAGGCTAGTATCTATATTATTTACATTTTTCCTACATTTTCCTCTAGAATTCTTATGGTTTTGTGCTTTACATTTAAGTCTTTTATCCATCTTGAATTAATTGATGTGAGGGGTGAGAGATAGGGGGTCATGTTTCATTCTTGTGCATATGGTTATACAATTCTCCTGAAACCATTTATTGAATAGGATACAATACAAAAAGAAAACTATAAACCAATATCTCTTATGAATACAGATGTAAAAATCCTCAATAAAATACTAGCAAATAGAATTCAGCAGCATATCAAAAAATAATAATAATACACCAGGACCAAGTGGGCTTCATCCCTGGGATGCAGGGATGGTTCAACATATGTAAATCAATAAATGTAATTCACCACATAAACATAAGCAAAAAAAGGAGAGACCATATTATCATTTCAATAGGCATAGAAGAAACATATCTTAAAATTATAAAAGCCATACATGACAAACCCACAGCCAACATCATGCTGAATGGGGAAAAGTTGAAAACATTCTCCCTAAGAACTGGACCAACACAAGGGTGCCCATTGTTACCACTACTATCCAACAAAGTGCTAGAAGTCCTAACCAGAACAATCAGGCAACAGAAAGATTTAAAGTGTATCCAAATTGGGAAAGAGGAGGCCAAACTATTGCCCTTCACTGGCGATATGATCTTGTACCTGGAAAACCCCAAAGATTTTACCAAGAAACTTCTGGAATTGACATATAAATTCAAAAAGTCTCAGAATACAAAATTAATGTACATAAATCAGTAGCATTTCTATATACCAATAACAGTCAAGCTGAGAATCAAATCAAAGACAATACCATTCACAATAGCAACAAAGAAAATAAAATACCTAGGAATGTACTTAACCCAGGAGATGAAAGATCTTTACAAGGAGAACTGCAAAACACTGAGTAAAGAAATTGTAGCAGACACAAACAAATGGAAAAACATATTATGGTCATAGATTGGCAGAATCAACATTGTTAAAATGTCCATATACCCAATGTGATTTACAGATTCAATGCAATCCCCATCAAAATACCAATGTCATACTTCACAGACCTAGAAAAAATAATTACGTGCTTCATTTGGAACCAGAAAAGAGCCTGAATAGCCAAAGTACTATTGGCAAAATGAACAAATCTGGAGGCATCACAGTACCAGACTTCAAAATATACTACAAGGCTATAGTAACCAAACAGCATAGGTATTGGTATAAAAATAGAGACATAGACTAATGGAACAAAAAATACAGAACCGAGATATAAACCTACTTACCTACAGCCAACTGATCTTTGACAAAGCAGACAACAACAAATACTGGCGAAAAGAAGCCCTATTCATTATCTTTAACATATTACATTATCCTTAATCTATTTACTTCTTGCTCAAGTTCATTATATGTGATCCACCTCCCACCTCCAACACTAACTTTGCCCTCTGGGCAGATGCCTAGTCACTCTGCTTGGGTCCTGACAGACCACACTGGGTTACACGCACACAGTGACAGCCTCCTCACCTTAGTTGGGCTTCCACGTCCCATGCCAAGCTGCCTCCTCACAGGGATGCCACCTTTATCCTGCTTGGAACTTGATGCCCATCACCAGTGGTCATTCACCACCACACACACAAAGACACACCATGGATATCCTTACCCTGTTTAGGCTCTGATTTATGATACCTCACACTAGCCTACTGTTTGCTCATTTTAAAAACTGGATTGTTTTCTTACTGTTGAGTTTTAAGAATCTCCATATATTCTAGATACAAGTTCTTTGTTGGAAATGTGGTTTTCAAATATTTTCTTCCAGCCTGTACATTGTCTTTTCATTCTCTTAACAGTATCTTTTACTGACCTCAAGTTTTTAATTTTGATGAAGTACAGTTTATCATTTTTTTCTTTATGTATCATGTCTATGAAAGTACTATGTTTAATGGAAGTAGTAACAGTGGGTACCCTTTTCTAATTCTTGGTAAGAAAAGGAATGCTTTTAATGTTTCATTATTGATGATGATATTTGCTATAGGTTTTTCATAGCTATTTGGTATTAGGTTAAGAAAGTTTTGTAAGTTTATAATAATTTAGGTGTCACTGATAATTGTATAAGAAAGTTATATAAAAAGATATGTATATCCCATTGTTCATAGTTTTACAGAGAATCCAAAGAAATTCACATAAAAGCAGAAAGGCAGTGTGGTGTGACAGAAAGGATGTGAGTGAGAGGGCTACACACTTGAGATTGAATCCCATTACTTATAATCTTTGTGGCTGGAGAATATAATCTCTGTTTCTGTTTTTTCATCTGTAAAACCTTACAGAATTGTTGTAAAAATTAACTATCATGTCTAAAAGTGCATGTCTAAAAGAATATACAGAGCCTGACTATTGTGTTGGGGCCTAAAAATATGATTGTTATCATAATGGCTGAAAGGCTGCCTAGGTGACTCTAATCTTCTATTTAACAAATACTCATTGAATATCTTCTACGTGGTAGGTACCATACTAAGTAGCAGGGCTGTAGCTTTCATTTTAACAAGGTCATTAGTCTTACAGGCTATAAAGGATTTCTATAGGGTAAATACAAACAGTGTCTTATACTCAGCTTTTCTAACCTTTCTATGGTAACATTTTATTTCTATACTAATTTCTTCCATCAGAGGAAAGTGATTAAAAGATCAGTTTTTAAAATAGTTCCACCTTCAGGAACAAAGTTCCAATATTTTTACTACTCCATAGCAACAAGCATTGTAGAAAGCATATTAAACACTCTTTTTTATACAACCAGGGATACTGTAGACACTGTATTCCAACAATAGGTTTCACTTTGAGTTGTATAATATGATAGAAAATGGTTTTTACTTGGTAACTAGAAAAAGATATGGCAAAGTCCTAAGCCACATATTATCCATTGGGTTTTGGATTTCAAATGCCTTATATCCTGAAAGACCCACTGTTCATTAATTACATTAAAATTTTGAGGCATATGAGATTGGTGTACTATCAAGCAGAGCCCATATGTCTATCTTTAAATGATTCTATCATTCTACCTCAAAGTTACAAAGGAAATTATGAAAATCAAATGTTTAATCAAAACACATGGAGCTACATTTAAGGTTATTAGATGGCAACTTGGACTGAAATAACTTTTATATTTCATTTTCTCACATTTCCATCAGCGGTAGATGGTACTCGGTTTCATCTGACATCAATTACAAATAGCCTCTCCTTTATAGATAACAGTAGATATTAGAAGGAGGGCCCATCGAAGAGAAAAATAAGTTGAGACCATTAGCGATTATAGTACAACCTGGGTGCTGCAAAGATACGATAAACAGAGCAAAACTCAATGGAAAGTGAATTGATGTTCTTGAGTGTTGAAAAACTTAGTCTACAGTAATGCCAACCCAATAAGTTTAACATCAAAAAATTCTAGATGACTTGCTACTTTATTAGTCTAGTGGCAGATTCCACAAGCACTTATTAAGATGACATGATAGAAAATCACCATCAGTAGGTTAAGAATTTAACTGTGTCACACAAACTTCCACATATGGAGAATACTCATTTCCCCTTACTAAGTTATATTATTGTATTATATTTTAAAAGCCAATTTTTTTAAAATAATGAAACTATATAGGTAGACCATATTTTTTAATGACTGATTTGGAATGCAAACTTGATCTAAAATGTTTACCTGAAAATTATTATGTTTTTAATTACCCCTCAAACAAGGTCAAATTGAGGGTAAAAATATATATTCAAACATTTATAAAATTGATGCTTACCATGAGATCTGGAAAACCAATAACTATTGTAGCATAACTGTTGTCATCTGAGAGAATTCGGTTGGGAGAGGCAATCTTTTGTCCCACAGCTGAACTTAGATTTTCAGATGATAGTTGATCACTTGAAATTTTATGAGGTATGCTGAACTCTGTTTCTGAAAAGTGTCAGACAAACATTAGATACTACATGCCCTTAAAATGCTCCAGAAATTAATTTTTTGCAAGATTTCATTCTCAATAACTCAAACAGAAAAGAACAAGGTAAAAAAGAGAAAATATTTTAAATTACATTTATGGGCTTTTGTTTGAGAAAACATTGTTTTTACAATGAAGGCATCTTCCCAAAGTGGTTCCAAATATTTCTGGAATTCAAAATTTGATTAGCAATAAATATTACCATTAATAGCTCCCTACAGAAAAGAAGTGAAACTGATACAACCCAGTGTTGGCAATGGTATGTTTTAGATTTTTTCATAAAAACTATTTACTCCCCAAAACTGTGATGAATTAATCATTTCCTGATGGTCTGTGGAAAAAAGAAAATATGCTATCCTAAATTAGACTTGGAACCTAAATGTATTTTATATTTATAAAAATTTTGATTTGTTAGTTAAAAAAATTCGAGGACAGATATCAAAAGAGTGAGCTTCCTTATGATGATTTGAAAGATGGTAGATTCTTATTTACTATTTCTAGTGTAGTGACTAAGTTTTTTCTTTTGGTATAAACTTAATATAGGGTGGTGTTATTCTTAAATGATGCTAGAAGACAGTATGTATACAAGCATGCACCCACACAGCACCCACATAAACACAGAGAACATAGTATTTACCTTGTGTAACTCCAAACCCTGTGCTAGGCAGCTCCTCTTTCAACACATACAACTGGCAAACCCCACTGCCCTCAGATTCGATGTGCGCAGGCTTAGTTAAAAGATATTTCCTGTAAACATACAAAATGTGTAAGTAAAAAGTTTTTCTTCTTCTAGTAATGGTAAGGCCAGACTAAGAAAAATTAGATCTCCCCAGACTCTTTTTTATAGTATAATTTGCAGTGTCAGTTTCATGATGAATTAGCAAATAACTTCTCCACATTGTGTTAAAGAGCAGTGTACAATAACAATGCAGTAATAAATGTGAAAAAAAAAATCCAACACTTCCTCTAGGAGGAAGGGCTGTTTAAAAAAAAAAAAAAAGCAACTCTAATGGGGCACACCCTTATTATCATGCAGCCCTCTCTTGAAATGACTCTTTGATGAGCCAGTAGGGAGTAACGTAACCTGTGATTTGTGACCAGCTAAGGGACAGAAGGCCTCACCACTTAGTCTCCCTGATCTACTTACTTTTAAGATTTCTAAATTTTAAAAGATTTCTAAAATACAGATGTATAGCCAGAAATCCTGCTTGTTAGCAGAAGGGCATAAGGTGCCTGTGCTTAGCGAGCCCATGTCATATACGAGAGAGGAGGACTCAAAGCTTACTGTGCACTCTGTTATGTGCCTAGTGCCGCACGCTGCCTTCCATCAAGGGTGTGGTCTGACGGGGAGGCAACACAAACATAGCATAAACAAATAAGAACACGCAAGATAAAAAGAGAAAGAAACTAAGGTATGAGTTCTGTGAAGTCACAAAAAGGCATCAGCTTTAGGATGAAGACTGTGGTTCTTTGGAAAGAGGATAAACTGAAAACCTACTTTGAAGTATCTCCAGTTTGGCAAGAATACAGTGAATTCTCAATGTGTTAATAGGAAAAAGCCCAAATAAATATGAATCATACATAAAAGTCATTATTTTTTACTGTTAATTTCAATGTCATACTCTGAGAAGCGACTAATTTCATTTTCTCCCCCCTTTTCCTTCTTGTAACTCTCACCTGTAGAGATGCTGCCAAATAATGACATTGTTAAAAGACAGATGCAAGGAAAACAGAACTGTATGAATGTTGGATAGTTGACAAATAAAGTTGAGCACACTCTATGAGATGCTATACAGATCCACCCACTCACTGATTTGTTTCGTTCTCCACCAGAAGCCACTTGTCCTCAGCTACAAGGAAAACTGTCTTGAGGTTGATGGGAAGTGAGATGGTGTGAGTTCTCCCTTCTAGAACATCCAGCACAGTCAGGCTGTTCCTGAAAAAGGAGAAGAAAATTGTATCTGAAAGGAAATGGTGAGGATAACGGTTGAGTGACCATGACATAATCATTTCATGATATATTATGTAACCCTAAAAAGAATGTTTTTAAGAGTAAGTAATAAGATAGAAAAATGTTAACTGAAAAAAATAGGCATAAAAAATTCTAAGCTATATTAGAGTGTGCATAAGAAAAAATAATGAAAAGTGACGGCTGCCATGTTAATACTGGCCTTGTCATGGAACTGTGAGTGCTGCTAGCTTTTCTTATGTCTGTTTCTCAATATTCTATAATGTGGGAAGAGTTACTTTTACACTAAAACATTTATAATTTGGTTATATTAGTTTTATAATAAACAAGTATAATTAAACAGGAAATAGAATAGACAAAATAAGGACTCTAGCTTAGATCTTCAACAATGAAGAGCTCACCCTTTTTCTTTGTAGAATACTAGCCAGTTTTTGTGCGAAAATTCCTTACACATTTTATAAGTTTCCTAAAGACAAAACAAAACAAAATATTCACGTTAAATTTGTCAGATGTAGTCATGTCTCTCTTTAGTTGCTTCTCCTTAAAGTTCTTCAATGTGTAAAACATGTAATTCTCAAAGAAGCTGTTAGTCTACTCTTAGACTCTTATGCTAACATGGATTAAACTATATTTCAAAATTTACTGTGAACTATGTACTAAAACCTCTTCAGAAAAATTTTTTTAAAAATAAGACCAAATACTGTTTAGCAATAAATATGCTATCTGGTGGTTAACCATGGAATTTATACTGCAACATAAACATACAGGAAATATTATACTTTGTTTATTAAATTTGAATACACTTATGATATATATTTAGAAAATCTCTTTTTTTCATGGTCTTTTAAGACCTAAGTATGCTGGGTATACTACCCACAGGGAGAGGGTAAGCCTTGTTTTATATCCATTACTTTTTTCTGAATGGCAGAATAAATTCTCTTGGGTTGGCCTAACGTGTATATACTAGCTTAATTTAGATAATAAACCAAAACATTTATTTGCCTATTAGGGGAAATCGGGTAGCATACTCATGGTTTTGTCACATAAATCCAAAATAACTATGTAACTGGAAAACAGGTTAAATTGACTGCATGATGAGAAATTTATTATGAATATCATAATCAAATAGTTCTTAATGTTCTATTATTGTTAGTTCAGTCCTGGCAAATCTTTATGTGAGTATGATGGACATAAAAATAAGCTATTTATATTTCATTACACATGTTTCTATATCTATATCTTTGTATTACATTAATATCTACAAATGTATAATATTAATAAAAGCATTCTCTTATGCATTATAGTAAACTGAAGGCACTAAAAGAGATGGGCATGCATGCATCTTTCTGGTTAGAGAGCTAGAGAAACTCCTTGGCAATTTGCTGGACAAATTCGGTATTCCTTACAGCTTCCTCCTTGTTCCACCAGGAAGGTTTCTTAGATATAACCTCTTCTAAAGGAAGGACAAGACGATGAAGGGCCCGGCCAGTGGTATCTAACAACAGGATGACATTACTCTGAAAATAAAGAGAACAGTGAAAAGCTCAAGATTTGTTCCTTTTCTAAAAAAGCAGCAGCTGCTTGGCAATCTGAGAGGGAAGGTTATAGTGATAAACCAAAGTGAAGACAACAATATTGAAATACTTAAGAGATATCACAAAGACACTAAATAATTTTCCTTAATACAGAATTTAGAGTTTTAGGTGGTTTTATGAAAATATTTCTAATTATGTAATGCAGGAGGTATTCTCTTTGGAGATTTTATCTTAAAACCATTTCCTTCTAAATATAAGCTAGCTGAACCATGATTCTGTTTTATTATATAGTAACAAGGAAATTAAGAGGATTGATAATTTTCAAAAGTTCATTTATTTTTATCAAAATTACATTTAGAGAATGCTCTGTTGAAAGTTCTTTTACATCATGTATAATCTCATTTATCCTTTTCATAAATCCAGGTTCAATTCAAAAAAATAGGTACAAAATAGATATAAAGATGGGTTAGCAAGAAATATGAAGGACTCCATGAACCTAGCTAGTAATGAGTGTTTCTTCATCTGGAAATTCACTAAGCTTGAAGGTCTTTCATAACTGGTGCTGTAATAATGTACAAACAAGAGATTTCTTCAGCATTATTAATCATGGCTATGCAATGAAGTAATCTCTCAGTGATTAGGATCGTTTTTTAAGAAGAGAAATAAAGTGTAAGCATTGAAATACATGAACAGAAACACATGAAATAAGAAATTCAAACTGAGAAAGCCAGAAAAGATTAAATATTTTAAAGGATACAAAGAAGTTGGTTGTTTTAGTTAAAATATAAAGACATTTGAAGTTTACCAGGTTTGCAAAAAGGCACCTGTAAGTTGTTTGCCAGGCCTCATTGTTAGGCAATTATCTTATCTTTCTTTCTTTCTTGTTTTTGTTTTGCTTTGTTTTGTTTTAAATTCAGGATTCCTTTAGTGATCCTAACCCTCAAAGTTTTCATTTCAAGAAGAACTTCCTTTAGGGAAATTAAAGTCACAAAGCAGACAAAGAAGTAATATATACCTTAAAAAATATAGAAAACAATCAAATATGAATTGTTCATTTATTCATGATATTTATTGAGCAGCTTATATTGAAAGCCAAAGGAGAATACAACAATGAATTAATCATGGCCCTTACTCTCTATTATGTAATCCAGTTAGAGAAAGAAAAAGAAATTTAAAAAGATTAATGATTCATCTGCAAACATAGCACCTCAATGTGGTTTCAAATTTATTTTACAAGCTAATTTTGTTCAAGTGCTCAAGAATTAAAATAGTATTTGCACAACATAGCTTTCTTCACACCATACATTCTGAATTTTGGCTATATTAAAAAATTTTACTAAGCATGTTGACAAAGCTTTAATTTTTCCACAAACATCACCCTTTGAATGTATCATTCTGTATAATATGCAATTCTCCATTAAGAATGTGTGTTAAGAATACACATTTAGAAATTAACATATAAGAAGTATTATTCACTAGCACTTGAATGTTTTGAAAATGGTAGTGATATCTTAGAGTTTTCCTTCAGACAACATGTAAGTTAAAAATTTACAAAGTCTCCATTCTAGATTAAATCTTTTATGAGTAAATACTTTTTAATGTAGAAAGTCTCTCTTATCTGATAAATATGTACAACATTAATATGAATTCTTAGCACCTAAGCAATCTGGGATAATATTAACTTTTCTAAGCAAAAGAAAGTTCTAAAAATAAATGTTTTATCCCCAAAAATGATTAGACAAAAGAATAAGCAGTTGATTAAAGAGATATGGTTAACCAGATATGGTTAAGCAGAAAAATAAGTTAGTATAGTTTTCCATTTTCTTCCTTTTTAGGGTCTAATACTGATACGCTCATAACTTGGCATAAGTGAACTGAAAACTGTATCTTACTAAGTGACAAAAAACATGTATATATTTCCAGCCATGGCTGTATTTAGAATTAGTTTATAAGCAATTGGCAACATGAAGGAGGTTCTGTTGCTCCATCCTTTTAATGTTAATGGTTTCCTTCTGTAAATGACTAATGATAGATTCTGTCTGAGTTTAAAAATAGAATTTTGCGTCACACATGAGTACATGTAACTGTGGTTTTGGCACTCCTTTAAGGGGGGCAGGGAGGAGAAGCGAGTGAGCAATTTTATTATGTTTGTATTTGACTGGGAGAAAAGTAACCTCTGGATGACCTCAATGTCCCAAAGTCTGAAATTCTAAACTTTGTACAGATGTAATAAATAATCTCATGGGAGGGGGGTCGGGGAAGGGGAGGGTCTTTATTTTTAGGCATGGCCAAGTTTCCCTTTCCTCACTTAAGATTTTATTTTAGCAAGGAATTTTTGAACAAGTTCTTACACTAACTGGGGAAACGCATCTGTAGCAAAGCTTTATTTTAAAAAGACATGTAATAGGTGAATCCACGGAAGTATTTCTCTAATAGTTTAGATTCATTTTCAGTTAGGACAGAATGAGGAAGAAGGAATTGATGGCAGTCTACTCTTTTTTATTCCACTAGAATTATTTATCAGTTGTTAAATTTCACAGCTTTGTGTTGTTCATATGGAATTCAACAGATCTGATATCCTAACAGAACCAAATTATAAAATAGATAGCTAAGATATCCTCTCTGGGAAAAGAGAAGGTAATTCAGGAGACAGGTAGAATAGAAGTATCCAGATAAGCTGTGCTTATCTTCCCAGGTTGCTGAAGCAGCTTTCTGGAAAACTGTTGAGACTGTGGCCAAAGGAATAAGTAAGGTAGCATATAAGAACACCAGGAGAGTAGGAGCTGGCCATGGAGGTCAAGCACAGTTTTACAATGAAAAACACATTTTCGTTGATGAAAGTCATTGTAATCGAACACAGTATTAATCAGCAATGTTGCCAAATAATTGGATCTATTGAGAAAATAAAACACTTGCTGAGAATCTAAAAATCTGGTACTTTTAAAGAATTTGTATATGTAAATATGACAGCTAATTTGACAGCTGAAAATTTGGCAACACTGAATAAATACTCCAAATTTAGATTCTCATTCAAATTTGATTCAGTTACTGAATTATAAATCACCAAAGTATCATTTGCTTTTTATGACAGATTGTACTGGCTATAGAATTTAACTCAATGGCATTGATATTTTGTTGAAAATCCAGAAAGTAAAACCTTCATTCCAATTTTCCAGACACAAATTTTTATAAGCAATATCTAAATGTTTATAAATTCTGCTTCTAGGAGAAAGTAAAAGTTAAAAAATGCAAAACCAAAACCTGAAAAACCCTTATTGACTCAGTATTCATGAAAATTATATAGGCAATGACTAAAGTAAAAGTTGACACTTCCTCAGGGAATTACTGACATGTTATTTATGTAATATTTCCTTTTTGATTAGATTAAAGTCTAAAAGTATTCTTTCTTGGTAACAGTTTTCTCTTTAAATTCTTATAAGAATATTTCTTCTAGTATTTAAAAAATATTCCCTATTATGAATACTTTTAAATTTTTCAAATTAATCTTTTCCCCAAGATCTGTAGTGAGTGAGACAGTAGATAAAGATTAATTCTGTCTGGTAGGGTCAATCCAATTTCGTTTGAATCACAGTTCTGCTGTGTATCTGCTGGACAAGCTACTTGAACTCTCTGAGCAACAGTTTCCTTATACGTAAATATGGATATCAGCTATCTCACTGGGCAGTTAGAAGAATAATATGAGATAATGTACGTAATCTCTCACTTGACACATTGTCAGCATTTAACAGTGGATCCTTTCCCTTGGAGATATTCATCTCTTGCCTTCCAGAATACCACACTCCTCAATTTATCCATCTACTCCACTGGCCACTCATTCTCAATCCCTGTCATTGATTCCTCCTCATTTTCCTAATTTATTGATATTCTACTGCCCCAATGCTTAGTGCTTGGACTTCATTTCTCTACCCACCTTCACTCCCTTGGAGACGTCTTTCAGTCTCTTGGCTTTAAGCAACACTTATATGCCAATGACTCCCAAATTTGTATTTCCTGTTCTGGCCTCTCCATTGAACTCCAGTCTTAACATCTACTTGGATGTTTAATAGACATCTCAAATTTAATCAAACATCATCTGATACTCCCTCCCAAATGGAATCCTTTCCCATCTCAGTTGATGGCAACTCCATCAAAGTTGTTCAGGCCCCAAATCTTAAAGTTACCCTTAACTCTACTCTCTTTCAACCCATACATTTGAACTGTTAGGAAATCTTGTTGGTTCTACCTTCAAAATGCATCCAGAATCTGTCATTACTTATGAGCTCCACCCTCCTCCAAATCACCATTATCTCTTGCCTCAGTCATTGCAAAAATCTCTTAACTAGCCTCCCTCATTCTTGCCTTAGTAGTTATAGACTCTTCACTACAGAGCAGCCAGAGAAATCCTTTAAAAACATAAGTCTGATCATGCTAGTCCCATGCTCAAAACCCTCTAATGCCTTCTCCTTTCATTCATAGTTAAGGGTCACAAACTTCAATGGCCTGCATGATTCTATACCAGGCGTCCTCAAACTATGGGCTGCAGGCCACATGCGGCCCGCTGAGGACATTTATCCAGCTCGCTGGGTGTTTTTGCTGCTGCTGCCTGTCCTGCTTAGCAGCCGACTCTTCCGGGGCCCACAGTGCGCATGTGTGGAATGTGCGCCGCACTCACCAATGGCCCTCCAATGGTCTGAGGAATAGTGAACTGGCCCCCCTGTTTAAAAAGTTCAAGGACCCCTGCTCTATACAATCTGTTTCCCACTGGCCCCTCCACCTCATCCCCATCCCAAGCCACTGAGTATCCTCTTTACCTCTTACTACCCCCCTCATTCAGTATTCCCTACCACAATTCTTTAACAATGAAGAGGCATGTTCCAGACTCTAGGGCTTTGAACTTACTATTCCCTTTGCCTAGAACTCTTTTCTTCCAGATATCTCTTCTCCTCCTCACTTCCATCAAGTCTTTGTTTAACTATCACCCTCAACCAGTTAGGCAATCCCTGCCTACTTTATTTTAAATTGCAATCTTACTCTCTCTTGCTTCTCATCTTCTACCCTAAGTTATACTTTAATTATTAATTTTGCTTATTGTCTACCTTCCTGCACCAGAATATAAGCTTCTGAAGACAAGGATTTTGGGGTTATTGTTCAATGTGGTATTCCCAACAGTAGGCACATGATATATATTTGTTGAATGAATAATATGCTTAGTATAGTACTTGGTAAATACCTGGTAAATACATTAGACTCTTTTCTATTGGTATAGTACAGATTAATTCAAAGCTTTAGAATTCTAACTAATTGAAATGCAACCTATTCTTTTGATGTGCATCTTCTCTTTGGAATTATTTTTAGCCTGACTCTGGGCATCTGGATTTTCCATTAGTGCAATCTTAGTGATGGGTGGAATTGAGCACCATTAGGTCTAACGGATCTCTGTGTATTTTATTTAGTGGATCTGTGCGGTTATCTCTATGTAAAAAATGTCATTCAGGTCTCAGATAAAATGTCATCTCCTACGATGAGATATCTCAGTACTCATTTTACTACTATTCACCTTCCTACCTCCTGCTACCCATCCCCACCACTCCCTCAGACATTACCCTGTTTCTATATATAACACTTATCACTACCTACAATTGGTGTGTTTATTTTGTTGGCTTACTTGTTTATTGTATATCTTCTCAAAGAGAGTGCAAGCTTCACAATAAAGAATCATCTGGACCCAAATGTCAATAGCATTGAGGTTAAAGACCCCTGACTTACCTGTTTCCAAACTTATAGGTCATGTTGACACCTGTGCAGGGAGGAAGATGTTAGCCTTTGTGGTACAGACAAAATAGAACTCCTGACCCGTCCCTCTAGCCCTCTCCTGGACCTTTATGAAAGCGCGTACTTTCAGTCATAGGTCGCTAATCACTCTTGCCTTTTCCTTCACGTTAGATGCTCTTCACATAATTGTAGTGTGTGAGTAGCCTGATGTGCATTACCTGCTGCTCATGGAGAATCACTTGACCCTTGAGGGGACTTCCCAGCGGTGCCACTGTCACAAATGGGTGCCAAACTCCACTGGCTGTTCTTGGGAAGATGTTAAAAAAGTCCACAAAGTAGCCACTTTTCCCAGTCATATTCATAAAGTATAAGGAAACAGGATTGCATGCAACTACATAGAGAGTATTTTCCTCATTTTCTGAAATGACAAAAAGGTGTTCATTTTGTGGTTTGCAACCAATTTTCTGAGACAAGTAGGTCAAGAGGCCTTGTGAAAACTGAATCACGAGGTTGAGCACACAGTTGCAACTCAGCAGATGATTTGTAGATGGATTGGCCATGAGAAACAACTTAGTTCTTACCCTAAAAATGTAGATAAGGCCACACCTATCTACTTAGGAAAATTAATTATCTATTTTTCCCAAAAGAATGCCTCTATATCTTGAGCTAACACTATTAAACATTTAACAATCCTCAATATCAGGAAATTGTTTCTTGTATGACAGCAAAGTGCTTTGTGCTCCAGTGAAGATCTGTTCTCTTGTTGGTTCAGATGGACAACAGTTGGTCAACACCATCTGTTTGCTAATCTGGCATTTTCCAGACAGTTAAGTAATCCCATTTTTTTACAATTTTAGCTCTATGGATCTTATTTTCCAAATTCTTGTTCACATTTGAGTATTTCTTATTACAAAAATTTCTTTTCAATCTGGGTACCTGCTAAAATCCATTTTCTGAATGTCAGTGCTTCTTCAAATTTTAAGTGTCTATGAGTCACCTGGTGACCTAATAAAAATGTAGATTCTGATTTAGGGGGCCTAGGGTGGGGTTTCAGATTCTGTCTTTCCAATAAACTCCTAAGAGATGCCAATGCTGCTGGTTTCAGGGACTCCTTTTGACTAGTTAGGCTCTGGACTAAGTTCCTCATAATCTTTTATGTGGGCACCTTTGAGGTAAGGGATTAAGCTGCTTTTGTATAATAAATGCTTTCAACATCACCCATCACCCAGGTGTCTATTTTACAGTGGTCATATTTTCTGATCCCCAAATTAAGACACAAGTTATGACAATGAGATACAACATTTATATATGGGACTATCCTGGAAAATCTGAAACATTTGTATAAGTGTGTGTATGTGTGAGTGTATACCATGTCTATAATATTATATATACATACAATATTATAAATATGTATATTATATATATACACACACTAATATAGTAAATTTAAATAAACAAGCTAACATTGATAAGAAACACAAGCCAACTGAAGGGCTGAAAAAGACACATATTATTTAGAAAACAATGCAAACTCTGTGTGTTACAGTTCCAAATATTAGATAAAGTTACAGAATTTATAATTTATGGATCTTTCCAAATGTTTCCATTTATCAACACAAATAAGCTCTAGTCAACATTTATTGAGTACTTTTTTGCATACTGAAGGGGACTGAGAATATAGTAAAAGTGTTAGCTGAAATGTATTACTTAATAACTTATTAATTGTTCTCTCTTATTATAGGCATTAAGTACAGTTCAGTCTTTGGCTATAATCCACATATGGATTATATACATAATCTATATGTGTCTTTACCAATCTTTTCCAAACAAACCAAACCCTGTACATTCTTAAAAGCACACATTTTTATTTAAAATAGCTGATTTGGGGAATAAATAATTTCCATAGAAATAGGCACAAACAAGATACTGATATTTGCCTTAACAATTCCCATTTTAGTCAAGTTAGAGACTGTCTCCCCTCCCCCAGCCACCACTTCTGTTTATATCACCTTAGTACCTACATTAATAGAGGAACTTCTGCCAAAATGTACCCAAGGCCCACTGCATGAATCAGTAGGTAATGGCAACAGTCCAGAAATGTAGATGCCAAAAATTCACATGCTTTATTTGCCATTCTTTATAATGAAAAGTTTAATGATTGCAAATCACTCCAGCCCTACTTTTATGGTTCATGTAATCATCAAAATGGAATCTCAGCCAAAAAAAATTCAATGTTCCTCTTTTTTCTTTTGCCCTTCTATTTTTAGCACATGCCTGGGTGTGTTTAACTTTATGCTACAATTGTAATGAGAAACAGACATATGCATACAAACTCAGCAGTGCTTATGTGGATTCCATAATAGCATTGTGTTAGGTTGTTAGAGGAAATTATTTTTAAATTATATATAATTGCTATACAATCCAAGAAAGATAGTTACTGAGTCTATCATAGACTTTTTGACGTCTAGAGATTATTTTAATCTCCTTTTCAAAAAGAAAAAAAACTATGCAGGAAGGAAAGATCAAAAGAATAAACTGGCATACCATGTGATGTAGCAATGTCACAGATTAAATTAATTTCATCCAATGGTAACCTCCAGGAAGCACATTCTTCAGTAAAGTTTAGAGATCTTTCTTCACGTCTTTCTATTGGATATTCCTGTATGTTTATAAGTACTGGACCCTATAATAAAGTAGTTATCTCAGTTAAGATATTTGGGTAGTCATCAAAATGTAGAAAAGCTCATGTCCTTCCAAAATATAGAATTTAAATTCATGTATTCAATAGCTTCAATTTTTTGACTGGCACAGTACTTATGACAATAATAATACCTTATACTTGCATTTATAAGTGCTTTCACATGTGCTATCTTATTTAATTTCTCACTTTTTCTTTTTTACTTACAAAATTTACCAGATGTAAAATCCCATAGGATTTCTCATTACTTCATTCCTTCCTAAGCCAAGAGCCAGTTTTGAACTCCAAGTATATGGACCCAGAGCTGTCCAAACCAGGAGAATCATTTGTAAATGAATGAGCCAGAGCCTGATATATTTCTATTGTGAAGAAGTATTCTTATATCATTATATATAAATGTAATCGCTGAACCTGACTCTTTTAAATTAAATGTAAAAAAAAGTGACATTTGAAATTAAAAAAATAAAAAACTCAGACTTACTCATAACCAATAGTGTTACTTAAGAAACGTGGAGTATTTCACACGTAGCAATAATTATTCAATATAAACATAAGCAGAGGAGCTAATTTAATAATGTCATGGATATTAGTTCTGGATACTTAGATATGACTTCCTGAAAGAATGCTATATTGTAACCAAAATTTCAATGATCTGCATGCCCTACAGTCCCTAATTAATCAAAATGTTTCAGCTAGATATTGGTACACATGCCCCTTCCCCCTTTCTATCTAGTCTGTATCTCAGGGGGCTAGAAAACTAAAAACTGCATTTCCCATACTCCCTTGAGAAAGAGCTCTGGAAGCGATTTAACTTCTGCCAATTAAATGCACTTGCATGAGATTTGGAAGGCAGAAGAGAGGTAGTGGCCACCTTCCTGCAGTGACAGCAGACCAAGAAGTGCTGACAAATAAGAGCAATCAGATTCTATGCTCTATTGCAGGGGTTGACAAACTACGGCCTGCAAGCCATGTCTTACCCTCTGCCTGTTTTTGTAAATAACGTTTTAGAGAAACACAACCACAGCCCTTTGGTTATGTATTACCAAGGCTGCTTTTGCGCTATGATGGCAGAGTTGAGTAGCTGTGAAAGCATCTGTATGATAAAAAAAAAAACTCAAGTATTTACTGCTTGGTCCATTAAAGAAAAAGTTTGCTGACCCTGCTTTACTGTGCAGCCCCCACCAGGAGGGAGGGCAGAAGCAGAAAAGCTGATCGTGAAACTATGAGTCCAGTGTTACCCCCGACTTCTGTTCCTCCTGCCCTTTCTAATGCTTTTCTAAACACCTACCTTCCCACAGTAATTCCCTCTCTGCTCGAAATACCTAGAGTGATTTCTATTGCAACTAGTGACGGATACTCCTTTCCTTTACCTTTTCGCACAAAGACAGCACCTATCAACAACACGTGGCTGGAAAGAGGCCAAAATTGCAAAAGCACAAAGTTTAATCCCGTTAGCAAACACAAACTAAAGACACATATCACAGACTAACCGTCCTAGGAAAATATGTCATACCTGACTCACCTGAAATACAGATTAACTCTTAAAAATTCTATCTGGCCATTAGGCATTGTCTATTCAGAGGCCAGGCTGATTTGAAAGTTAGAGCAGGAGCTAAAATAACATCAGAACAAATCATTTCTGAGATTGTATGGATTTTCTCCAGGGAAGAAGATACAGAAAAATTCATAAGATTCAATCTCTTGAGAGGAAAGAACAAAGATATCAACCTTTATGTCTACATGATGAGTTTCTGCCGGACACAAGAGTTTTTGCATTCCACTTCTTGCCTGACCAATTGTCCAGTAGCCCATGAATGTCTGCTCTGGCAGAGGCAACCTGTCAAGAATGATTTGCAAAGTAAATATTTTCTCTTGTTTCCAAGTCATAGGAAAAAATAACGAGTCATCTATTGTCAACCACACAAATACGGAGAATGCTTTACTTAGAAGTGAATTATACTTCATTTTATTAAAAGACCAGTCTATATAATTACGTTTAGAATATACTTTAGGACAAAAAAAGATTCCACATTTCAGAAACTCAAAAGATAAGGTAAGGTCCTATTTTTACCCTAATGACAAATATAATTAAAGTTTATATATTTTTCCCTTGAATTGGTGAAAGATTTAGTAATTTTAACATCTAAATTCCTGGTAGAGTGTAAGAAACATTTTTTAAAACTTTAAAAAACATTGGAGCAATCTGTCAAATTTTTCAGTCTATTCTTTTACATTTGGAATCCAATAATAAATAGCATATGACACTACTAGTTCTATGTTTGTAAGTTGTAGAGGGCAAGTTTTGACTTTATTTTGGCATCTTAATTATTTTTCACTTTGCATTGAAATATAATATACATACAGAAATGTTCACATAACTGTGTCACTTAGCTCTGAACACAAGTGTTCAAGTAAAATGTACCTACAGAAGTACAGTATCATCGGCACCCAAAAGTACCCATAGGATTGCTTTTAGTTGCTACCCCCACCAAGGGAGCTACTATCCTGACTTCTAATGGAATCATTCTGTGTTTAGATTTCTTTTTATTTGAAACAATTTTTAAATAAGGTGATGATTTGCCAAAACAAATATGGTGATGCAAAATAGCAATTTTTAAAAAAAAAACCTTCACTTTTTACTCATACTATTTTTTCTTTGAATCTTTGAAAAAGGAACTATTGATGTCATTTCAGCCATTAGAAATGTCTTATTCAATGATAAGTTAAGGCAAAAAATGATTCAGAGTTAAAAACTCTCTAAAAATAATACACATATGGCTACAAATTGAAATGTATGTTTGGAAAGAGTTTGATGATCATTAAAAGAGTACATATTTATATTTAGAAATCATTTTATTTTCAGTAAAGTGCTTGTCTGACATAATATTTCCATATGCTTAATAAGACCATGTACAGCTAAGATGTTTTTTGCATAAAAGAATAGAACCAAACATTCTGATGGAATATGCATTTTGGCCCTTTGGAATGCTAATGTTTAACACAAGAGGAAAGAAATTAAAAAGAAATTTATATTGAAATTCTTCTAAGTTATATTAATCTGTCAAAAGGACACATGTGCTTTTATATTTATCATCTAAAATACATTTTAAATACCTGGACAATTATCCTAATTGGTGACTCACTTACTTCCATCTTTTGAAAACCAAAAAAGAGTATGTGTGTATGGAGAGGGGCCTGAATTAGAGGATTTACTATTATTGTGTTCTCTCTTTCAAATGTAATAAAAATACATTTCTGTATCAACAGGGCAGGTCTGAAAAACAACTCATAGACTGAGATCTCTCACTCCTAATTTAGGAAATAAACTGTATTTTTCACTTGCTTTCAGCAGTTTACCACGGGGGAATTAAGTCTCTGAATATAGAAGAAGAAACATAAAGGAAGTATGAGATACACTTAATTTCCCTCTAGCACATAAGATATAATGTAATAGAATGCAAGAGACCTGGGTTTTAGTTCTAGTTCTTTTATTTACCAGCTATGCAAACTTGGGAAGGGAAAAATCAGCTAATTCCCCTGAATATTAGTTTTTTCATTTGTGAAACTCCTTACAGCTTGGGGAATCTGTGATGGTTGAGGAAGTAAGTAGAGGGAAGTGTCAGTGGTAGGTTCGATGGTCTTGCATAGCCTTGGTGCTCTGAAGTGAAAATAAATAATCAGAATGAAAACATCTACACCTTGACTTTGGTCAATAGAATAGGTGTCTTGAGGAATAGGCATCCTTTATTAAAGCATATAAAAAGAAACTCAACATACATCTAAAATTAGCTCTTTGAAGAAAACAGAAACAGTTTCACATCTTGAAATCTAATTAAAGGTGAAGAATTGTTTAATAAAAATGATCCTTGGTTGATACTTAGCCCAAAAAAGTGAATCTAATATATCCTTTAATAATCTTATAAAAATATTATACAGATACTTAAAAAAAAAACAACCCTTCATGCATTTGAGAAAAAGTAACTTTGCTCAATTTCCAGTCTTTACTGACAATGCCAGGGATGTTCATAAAATCTGGTTTGAACTTGCCAACTCATTCTAAATAACAGTCATGGAAATTATAGGCTGCCTGGCTCTATATAAAAATAGCACTGGCTGTTTGGTTGGCAGGGTAGGAGAAGGACCTTCAGGTACCCTATATAGAATCTATTCTGGAACCACATAACAAGATGCTATTGGCAGTAATAACTATAACTGAAAGACACATAACTCAGTGTATCCTGGAGTTGCACGATCAAACTGACTCAATCCTGCTCCTTGGTAACATGAAATGTTGTTTCTAGATTTTTACTGTGGGATCTAGGCTGGCCAACTGAGGTAAACCAAAGCCCCTCAATTATTTTCCATTACTAAGCCCTCCCAATAAGCTGTGGAAAAATTTGACCATTATTAACTTTCTCTCCTTCAGGAAGTTAGTAGTCAGGGAAGAGGGAAAGCATTAGTATTTAGGTACATGAGCAAACTTTGGAATTTGAAATATAATCAACATCAATTTTGGGGTAACTCTAAATAACCAGTTAGCAAAGGCCCTATATTCCATTAGTGAAATCTGTCATCCAACTCTGACCAGGCTTAAGTTTTTATATCTGATTTGATTAAAATAATAATGGCATTTTCCATGGTTTTCAGATCCTATCACTTGTATTGTTTAACTGTGTTAAAGTCCTAGCTGGAATGATGTGTGGATTTGATTTTAAGTGGGAGGAGGATGAGCTTCAGGCCTATAAATAGCACTACTTTTTATCTTCAATGTCATTCATGAATTTATGTTTTTTAAAACAACAGAGTATTTCAATTCATATGTTGTGATGTTTCTTAATCCCTTGTGGAAGTGATAATAAAGATCTGGATGTAAAAGTTTTGACTAAAAGCAAGGTGAGTATCAAAATTGTGACTCAGGTCAAATTATATTACTTGAGCAAGTTATAGAAAGGGACAAAAGCTTTTCTTTTTTTCCTAAAAATGCATATAATTCATAACATGATGCAGATAGACACCAAAGTCAAGTAATATAATCTGAATGACATGCAAGAAATTTGTCTAAGATTGCTTCCATAAAGAGGTGAGCTAGGGTTTTAAAGAGTATGTTCTGGCAAATTTCTGCCTTCTCTGAACATTTGCCAATACTATTTCTGGAGCATGAAAGAAAACACATGAAAAAGATTTGGATCTTTCTAGGGGCATTATGCAATTGGAAGTTGTTGACATATCTATTATCAACAATTCCTAAAACATTTCCTTACCACAAGAACTACTAATTTTCACGGGAATAATGGAAAGCTTCAGGGTTGTTCCACCAACTCTCAAAAATTCAACAATTACTACCATCTTTGAGAAGAATAAGAACAACTCCAATTTTAGCAGGACTCATCATTCCTAATGTTTTGAATCTAACCTCTGGCAAAAATTTAGTCAGGTTGTCCAACTGAGTTCCCTGGAGCCTTTCATGGAATGCCCTGACAAATATTTCCAGCATTGATTCTTACCCCTTCTTCTTACTCTACAGACAACCTACGCCTTAGCCACCTCGAACTGTTACTTGCCATTCCTGAACATTCTATGCATATTCATGCTTCCACAAGGCCATTACCTCTGCCTAGAATTCCTTTCTGCTACTGCCTCCTTGGTGAAATCTTTCTCATTCAAAAGGGCCGATTGAAGATTGAAATGTTAACTTCTCTTTGCATCCCTCTCCTATGCTCCTTTCTGGGCCCAATGAATTCCTTACTCTTCTGGTTTTCCATATATATTTGTATATATGAAACTCTTAGAATAGAGTTCTATAGAATCTGTAATTTTCAAATTAAAGACCTGAAAGAAAATAAAATTTTAGGGAAAGCAGGTCAGAACTGAATCTATGAAATCCTTTATATTTTTATATTTACTAAAAGGAAAAGTACACTTGAAAGAGAAAATACAAAAACCCCTTTAAATAATTTAAATTGTTATTACTAATTACTATTATNGCTCTTC